TCAGACAAGATCAGCAGCTCTGGTGAGGAGGTTCCCACACAGCAAGTCTTCCCTCATTAGACATCCGACATTAGCTCAAACCATAGAAATATTATTACAATTTGGAAACTTGTTCCTTTGAAGCCTTTGAGGCTATTAAACAAGGCCTATTATTTTATTGAAACATGTGAGTGTCCTTATTCTATTGATTTATATGGTATTGAGTGGCAGTATTACACTATGTAGCCTTTCTTTCCTTGCACATTATTGAGGATTCCATGGAGAAGTAGAGTGGAGTCGATTGCTGTATCTAAGCAAGGTGAAGAAGGCGATTTGAGTTCCTCCTGAGGGGCTATAGGATCCCTTATATCCTATGAGGCTTATTACTCACCTCCATCTGGTGAGTGCGGTCAATATTATTTTTCACGTGGTGATTAGGTGGAAGCACATTTTGGAACATTGTTTTGAAAATCCCTTTTGGGAAAATAAGGACTTATGTTTGAAATATTAGATATATATTTTTGCACGGACATTTATTTATTTGTGATTATTTTTATTTATTTAATTTTTGCGCTGTTTTTTGTGTTATTTAATAGAAATATTATTATTATTTCAAGTACTTATGTAGCGCCGTCAATTTATGCAGTGCTTTATATATATATATTGTACAATCACATCAGTCCCTAAACTTACATTCATACATACACATACTAGGGCCAATTTAGACAGGATGCAATTAATCTACCAGCATGTCTTTGGATATACGAAGAACCAACGAACCAAAAAAGAGTCCAAGATATTTTTAACTGTCAATGAATAAGTCATATAAAAACATTCAGAGAACTCAGAGGAAACAGTGCTCCATTGCTGCTCAGCAACTGCTGTCAAGTTGTTACTCACTGTGAGAAGTTCAATATTGGCTGTAATATAGGTCTGGGAAGTCACTGGGAGTCCATCTAAGTTTTATCCTGTGTTGAGCCCTAATGTAGGGGGAGTGTTTTTTTTCTCCCTAAAACACATTGACTGTTTTTAAATTACTTATTCACCTGCAATTAAAGTGTTGCTAAACCCACAAGAGTCTGTATATGCAGTAAAGCATGCTTGTTATACTCACTGAGAAACCTAAGGGGTTAATCCTCTGCATTTTGTAAAAAGGCTGTTTGATACTGACTTCTCTGCTCCTTCTCTTGTTCAGCTGTCCACATCTTATCTCCTGATAAGACAGACTGAACCGTAGCTATTCTGCACATGCCTAGTTTGGTGTGTATTACTAGAGAGGTTATTTTTTTCTTGGGAGAGTGCATGTGATCAGCACAGGGCCAATCAGCACTGTCCAGACAGAGGTCAGGGGTTTTGAATCCTCCTAGAGCAGAAAGAAAACTCCTCCTACAAGTTTAAACCAGTGCTCTGCTGAAGTGAGAAGACTGCTCTAACTGCTGATGATAAAAGGTATTTAGCAGTTTATATTTACTAAAATAATCGCATTTCCATGTTCTGTGTACTGTGGGAGACCAGATATAGTGAATGCAGGGTCCTGGGTTTAGTAACACTTTAAATTTATCTTTTACTCTTTCAACCGCCTTTGGTCTGACACTCCTTTCAACAGTATATTTCAATAAAAGGAAATTACTTCTGCTGTACTCTCTAAAAAAAAATAAACAAAACAAAGTGCTTTGTAATGTCTGTTTTATGGGAGCATCCTGTATTAATAACCACTTACCTACCGGGCACTTTTACCCCCTTCCTGCCCAGGCCAACCTTCAGCTTTCGGCGCTGCCGCACTTTGAATGACAATTGCGTGGTCATGCAACACTGTACCCATATGAAATATTTATCTTTTTTTTTCACACAAATAGAGCTTTCTTTTGATGGCATTTAATCACCAAATGACAAAGCCTGGAAATTAAAAAAAAAAAGTTATTATAGAAAATGTATTACAATTGCAAAAAGGTAATTTTTCTTGGTCACTGATGTGCGCTGATGAGGCTGCACTGATAGACACTGATAGGCAGCACTGATGGACACAGATAGGCATCAATGATAGGCACTGACAGATGGCACTGATAGGCGGCACTGACAGGTGGCACTGATGGGTACAGATTGGCAGCATTGATGGGCACAGATTGGCAGCACTAATGGGCACAGATTGGCAACATTGTTGAGCACTGATGGGCACTGATGAGGCTGCACTGGTGGCCATTGATGAGGAGGCAATAATGAGGCTGCACTGATATGCAGAACTGATGGGCACAGATAGGTGGCAACGATGGGCACTGATAGGCGGCACTGAAGGGCACTGAAGGGACTGGCGGCACTGAGAGGAACAGATTGGCAGTACTGATGGACACAGATTGGCAGCACTTCCGGGCACAGATTGGCAACACTGCTGGGCACAGATTGGCAGCACTCTTGGGCAATGATGGGCACTTTTGGGGCTGCACTGATAATCAGGACACTGGGCACTTTCTGGGAGGGCAACATATGACACCCTCCCAGAACTGGACGACCACGCTGTAGCCATCATTTGGCTATAGCGTGGTCAGGAAGTGGTTAAATATGTATTTTTTTAAACAAGATTTTATTGCATAAGATATAAAACATGAATTTAAACAGGTTGAATAGTTTGTTCATCCTAATTCAGACCATTCTACCAGAAATACATTTACAATATACAATCTGCATCTGAATCAAACTTATGTTGGGTTATGAAATTCATTACAAATGTATTTTATTACTGCGTTTTTATGTTTAGCATTATATTATTCTCAAAGTTCATTATCCGAAGAAAAAAAATCCCTAGGGCAGGCTAGACGTTAAAAACATTCATTATCACTAACAGCATACAGCAGCTGAATTCCACAGTGCTGTGCCTCTTGACATTACATGTGTTCGTATATAAGGAACCTGCAGCCAGCCACTGTGTATTGGGCAGTTGTTACTGCAACAAGCACTGGTGTAAGAGGATATCAAATGAGCAGGTTTATAAAGGTACATTTTTAGTTTATTTTTAGAAAACGTTTTCATTAGCTTATATAACTTGACTTAGATGCATTTAATAACATGTACCAATAATTATCATTTGTTATATATGATAAATTACCATGTTGTATATGATAGTTGTGTAAAATAGGTACTCTACAATAGGACAGTATTAACTTGGCAGTCAATTGGGTCATCTCACTGACTGACATTATTGGTCGTGATGTCAGTCATGTCTACTGATAACTGATATTCAACAGTCAAGTGTCAGCTGTTATATGGAAGTTAATAATGTATTTTCCTATGTGCATGTTTTATTTAATATAAAATACATTTTTTCATCATGAAGTAACCCTAGATTTATTAAATAAATACGTGGAAATGTGACAATGGCACTATAAAACGTGGTTGGTAGAGGTCACTCACATCCATATACAGTAGCAGCTTGTAATTTATGCTTAGGAGGCACTTACTTTCATCTGTATACAGAACAGCAAAAGGGGAAATACTGATGAGCATGGATTAGACTTGTGGTCACCATGCTATCACACCTATGAATGCTGCAGGTTCATTCAAAGGCTTTTCTGCCGAAGTTGGTAAGTCATTACATAGCTATAATTTAAACTATACATCTAATTTCATATGATTTTCCATTTTATTTGAAGACCAAAGTAAAAGAATTTGCAGTTTTCCTTCCAAAACTCTTGGTCTTCCTACTATAGCCCTGAAATATGTGCTTTTCTCATTTTGGTTGATTAGTGGAATTGATGCACCCACCATTTGCTTAGTTAGCAACACATCTGAATTTACTTTTTAATTACAGTACATCTCAAGTTGAAAATGATAACATTTCTTCATGCATTAAAATTACTTTGTTGGACCCTTTGTGGAGATTTACTAAAAATGGAGAGTGCAAAATCTGGTGCAGCTCTAGAAACCAATCAGCTTCCAGGTTTTAATGTCAAAGCTTAATTGGACAAACTGGAGTTAGAAGCTGATTGGCTACCATGCACAGCTGCACCAGATTCTGAGTGCACCAGTTTTAGTAAATTACCCCCCCCCCCCCCCCTTGTGGCTACACATACATGACAATTACATCAAGCAGAGATACAGTTCAAAAAATGAAATAATGATTAACTTTATCTGTGGTTTGTTTTAGGACTGCAGTCATTGATGCTATAAAATGATATGTATCCCAGTGATTAACCTCTGATGTATGTGATCTTAACCTGTACACTGGTCAATGACTCTGCAGCATGGAAATTGAAAAACCTAATTGTTCCCAATTTCAAAATGTATCCTTCTGTTCTACAAATTGGTATCTTGGCACACGTCTAGGACTTTACATGTTTTTCACATGTTCCATAACTATTACCATCTTTGGAAATTTTGGTATGATTATTACTATTGCCCATTTTAAACAGCTTCATTCAGCAACAAACATTCTTATTCTTTCCTTGGCATTAGCTGATATGTGTATTGGAATATTTATAATGCCATACAGCATGGTAAGAACAGTGGAAAACTGCTGGTATTTTGGAAACCTGTACTGTAACATACATTATGGTTTTGACCTGACTTTAAGTGTCATCTCTATCTTTCATCTCTGTGTAATTGCAGTTGACAGGTTATATGCAGTATGTAAGCCACTCCATTACCCTGTCAAGATTACTCTGTCACTCATTAAAAGGTTGATCTTATTTTGCTGGTCAGCTCCTATGATATTTTCATTGGGAGTCATTTTATCAAATTCTCATGTGTCTGGCATTGAGGGATATGATCTTCTAATCCAATGTTTCAATGTGTGTCCAATCACATTTAACAAATTATGGTCAGTAGTTATTTTTCTTTGCATGCTTTTTTTCTCCAGGAGCTTTAACGGTTGGAATCTATGTGAAAATATTTCTGGTTTCTCAAAAACATGCAAAGCTTATAAAGACTGCAGTTGTGGATTCAAACACATCACAAAAAGTTTCCAAGAGGAAAGAGCACAAGGCAGCTTGGAAACTAGCTATTTTGATGGGTGTCTTCCTTTGCTGTTGGATGCCAATTTTTGTAACTTTATTAATTGATCCATTTATGAACTTTTCTACACCAAAGGTAATTTTTGAAGTATTTAACTGGTTTAGCTATATAAATTCAACATGTAATCCTATTCTGTATGGCTTTCTCTATCCATGGTTTAGAAAAGGTCTCAAACATATAATATCTGGTAAAATATGTTATTCTGATGCTTGTGCAAATCTGTTTCCTGCTGAATAGGAAATTATATAAGAAAAATAAATCTGTTTTTGCACTAACTTGAGTACAATTTTGTTATATACTATAATATTATATACAGAACATAGCAAATAATATTTACATTGTTAAATTTATATTCAATCCTGGAAATGATGCTAAAGAAAACTTATGGCAAAGTTAGATTTAATATATCTAACTCTCAATGTGTATTTTTATCTTTGTTTTTTTAATAACTTTTAAATAAAATTTACTTATTTGTTAGTTTTAATAAATAAATGAATGCTCTTCTTCTGGAACAGCATATTTATAAATGCTGAGGTTGTCCTGGTAAATTTGAAAAACTATGTGGCCATGGCTTGATAACCCAGGTCTCAGCCCAGGTGAACATACATATCAGAGAATTTTTCAATGTATTGCCAGGCCATAGTAACATGTTGTTGACCTGTTGCACTTGGGTATGGTTCTTCTGAGTAGTAGGGATCTTCATTAAATGGCCACTATTATTCCATGCAAAAAGTATGCCATAGTATTCCATGTTTGTTTTTCTCAGTTATTTCGCTCTGCGAATGATATTTGATTGTACTGTCCTGGAACGCTGTATACTGTACATTTCTTTATGTTTAATAAACATAATTCTGGTTTAAAAAAATAAATAAATTAGCTTTTCCTGAATCCATATTTTTGTTATATCTCTAATTATATTTGTGCATAATAGTTGAAATACATGAACAACACTTATTTAAAGTCGAACTGCAGGCAGATATAAAAGACACAAATAAAACAGCTCTATATTCAATAATAAATAATTGAATGCATTTGTTTTTGTAATTACAAATAGTGCAAGTGCCTGAATCTGGCTTGCTATCAGCATCTTCCTATACCAGGAGTCTCCAAACTTTCTAAACAAAGGGCCACTTTACTCGCTTTCAGAATTTAGGGGGGCCAGACTGTGGCCGTAGGGAATAGAAATTGTTATGCGTCATTGGGAGTAAACAATGCTTCTTTGGCATTTAGGGGAGGAATAGCGCCCTATTCTTGGTGTAAGTTGCAGAAATAGTTCCCCATCTTTGGTACCAGTGGGAAGACTAGTGCCCCGTTGTTGGTGTCAGTGGGAGGAATAGTGCCCCATGGTTTGTTTCAGTGAGAGGAATAGTGCCCAATTGTTGGTGTGAATGGGAGGAATAGTGCCTCCTTGTTGGTGTCAGTGGGAGGAATAGTGTCTTGTATCAGTGGGAGAAAATGTGCCCCAAGGGCCAGATAAGGGCGAGCCCCAGGGTGTTAGTTTGGAGACCACTGTCCTATACAATCAGCAGCACCTACACTAGGAAAGAGAGGGGCAGGTCTGGGAGTCAGGTGCACCGCATGGAAATGTGTGGACAAGGAATTATACGAGGAGAGCTCATAAAACCAGGGCAGGCTGGTTGTATTGCAGGTCTAGGCAAAAAATTCTTGGAAACTGTCTCAGATTCTTTTATTCCAACTGGCTGAACAAGCTCATCTACAAACTCCTAAAAGTATCCAATTAATATATGGTTCTACATGAGAAATTACTAATAATGTGGAAAATAATTTCTCTGCCTAGATAATGATATTGTTTTCCCATTTCTTGTGTCTTAATTAGAGATGAGCGAATTTTTCAAAAATTCGATTCGGCTGATTCGGCAAATTCCAGGAAGAAATTCGATTCGATGCGAATTAATTCGCTACGAAGTTAACTTATAAAAAGGGTTTCTAGGCTTCAGAGAGCCTTTAAATTAGTGCAGAACACTGTACCTTTAATTTAAATGCCCTTGGAGATGAGGAAGGGAGAAGGAGAAGGAGAAGGATGAGAAGAAGGAGAAGGAGAAGGATGAGAAGAAGGAGAAGGATGAGAAGAAGGAGAAGGAGAAGGAGAAGGAGGAGAAGGAGAAGGATGAGAAGAAGGAGAAGGAGAAGGATGAGAAGAAGGAGAAGGAGAAGGATGAGAAGAAGGAGAAGGATGAGAAGAAGGATGAGAAGAAGGATGAGAAGAAGGAGAAGGAGAAGGAGGAGAAGGAGAAGGATGAGAAGAAGGATGAGAAGAAGGAGAAGGATGAGAAGAAGGATGAGAAGAAGGAGAAGGATGAGAAGAAGGAGAAGGAAAGGATGAGAAGAAGGAGAAGGATGAGAAGAATGAGAAGGATGAGAAGAAGGATGAGAAGAAGGATGAGAAGAAGGACAGTTCTGTGACAGTTTCTGTCTATTTCTGACAGTTCTGTGACATTCACTCCATACAGCGGTTTCAACCGCTGTATTGAGGGAATGTCCCAGAACTGTCAGAAATAGTCTATTTCTGACAGTTCTGGGACATGTATGGAGTGAATGTCCCAGAACTGTCAGAAATAGTCTATTTCTGACAGTTGTGGGACATTCCCTCCATACAGCGGTTTCAACCGCTGTATGGAGGGAATGTCCCAGAACTGTCAGAAATAGTCTATTTCTGACAGTTCTGGGACATTCACTCCATACAGCGGTTTCAACCGCTGTATGGAGGGAATGTCCCAGAACTGTCAGAAATAGTCTATTTCTGACAGTTGTGGGACATTCCCTCCATACAGCGGTTTCAACCGCTGTATGGAGGGAATGTCCCAGAACTGTCATAAATAGTCTATTTCTGACAGTTCTGGGACATTCACTCCATACAGCGGTTGAAACATTGTATCTATTTGTTTCCATAAATGGATCCATTTATGGAAACAAATAGATACAATGTTTCAACCGCTGTATGGAGGGAATGTCCCAGAACTGTCATAAATAGTCTATTTCTGACAGTTGTGGGACATTCACTCCATACAGCGGTTTCAACCGCTGTATGGAGGGAATGTCCCAGAACTGTCAGAAATAGTCTATTTCTGACAGTTGTGGGACATTCACTCCATACAGCGGTTTCAACCGCTGTATGGAGGGAATGTCCCAGAACTGTCAGAAATAGTCTATTTCTGACAGTTCTGGGACATTCACTCCATACAGCGGTTGAAACATTGTATCTATTTGTTTCCATAAATGGATCCATTTATGGAAACAAATAGATACAATGTTTCAACCGCTGTATGGAGGGAATGTCCCAGAACTGTCAGAAATAGTCTATTTCTGACAGTTCTGGGACATTCACTCCATACAGCGGTTGAAACATTGTATCTATTTGTTTCCATAAATGACATTCTGCAGATACACTTAGAGGAGCTCTGCAGATACACTTTTTGCCGGCTTGGAATTATTCTTATTTTCATCCTACTTCTTCTTCTTCTTCTTCTTTCATCCTCATCCTCATCCTCTTCTTCTTCTTCTGAGGATGAGGATGAGGATGAAGAAGAAGAAAGTAGGATGAAAATAAGATTAATTCCAAGCCGGCAAAAAGTGTATGTGCAGAGCTCCTCTAAGTGTATCTGCAGAGCTCCTCTAAGTGTATCTGCAGAGCTCCTCTAAGTGTATCTGCAGAATAGAGGAACTCTGCACATACACTTTTTGCCGGCTTGGAATTATTCTTATTTTCATCCTACTTCTTCTTCTTCTTCTTCTTCTTCTTCTTCTCCTCATCCTCATCCTCATCCTCTTCTTCTTCTTCTGAGGATGAGGATGAAGAAGAAGAAGAAGAAGTAGGATGAAAATAAGATTTTGCCGGCTTGGAATTATTCTTATTTTCACCTACTTCTTCTTCTTCTTCTTCATCCTCATCCTCTTCTTCTTCTTCTGAGGATGAGGATGAGGATGAAGAAGTAGAAGAAGAAGAAGAAGTAGGATGAAAATAAGAATTCCAAACCGGCAAAAAGTGTATGTGCAGAGTTCCTCTATTTCTGACAGTTCTCTGACAGCTTCTTCACATGTACAGCGGTTGAAACATCTGTATCCTAAATGGAAACTAATAGATACAATGTTTCAACCGCTGTACATGTGTTCCTTCTGTCAGAGAACTGTCAGAAATAGCGGAGCTCTCTGCAGGGACACTTTTGCCGGCTGATCGGGAAAAATCCGATTCGCGCACCCGAAGTAGGCAAATATTCGGATTCGACGCGAATCGAATTTTTCCTGAAATTCGTATCGAATTCCGGTTCGCCTGGTTCGATTCGCTCATCTCTAGTCTTAATGTCTGTGGGGTTTATTTACTAAAGCTGGTTCACTCAGAGTCTTGTGCACCTGTGCATGGTAACCAATCGGCTTCTAACCTCCGCTTATTCAATTAAACTTTAGCAATAAAACCTGTAAGCTGATTGGTTTCTATGCAGAAGTGCACAAAATTCCGGACCAGCTTAGTAAATAAACCCCTGTATGTCTAGTTTTAAAGCAGAACTTCACCCAAAATGGGGAAGTCCCGCTTTTCCGCTTCCTCCCTCCCTCCCTCCTCTATCACCTTTGGACATAACATTTTATGGGGAGGGAGATAGTACCTAGTTTTGACAGGTATCTACTTCCACTAGGATCGCCTAGGCGATCTGAGTAGAAGTTCATCCCCCTTCTCTTTACCTGCAGCTTTCTGGGACACATCACAGGTCCCAGAAAGTTGGGGGAACATTCACAAAGTACAGCAGGGCTCATGCATGCACAGTAGGAAGCCGGATGTGAAGTTGCTACAACTCACAGCCGACTTCCCATAGTAGAGATGTCAGTACCGGGGACCCAAACACCGATGAAAAAAAACAGCCAGTGAGAAAAGCGCTAGATCCCCGCACAGGTAAGTGTCCTTATATTAAAAGTTAGCAGCTACAATATGTGTAGCTGCTGATTTTTAATTTTTTGGGGGGAACCTCCGGAGATGCTCTTTAAGGTATTATAGGTTCTGAATTATGAAACTTCATGGTGACTCATTTTATAAGGAAATAAATAAATATATATAGCTCTTGCTAAGAGCTGAAGATTAGTTGTTAGAAGTGCCATGGTATACACAGTGGCATAGAATGGGGGGGGCAGCTGGTACGGTCACCCTGGGCACAACATTTAGAGGGGCGCAGAGCCCGTGAGTCCCGCGTTTTTCAGCCATTTCTTTCTTTATTTCATGTCTCTGTGGT